CATAACGATATGTTCTGGTTCAGCCTCCAGGCCATAAGATGCAAACAGTAATTTTATCCCAAGGCAGCTTGGCCAGAAGATGGAAGCCATTAAGGATTGCACAAATTTTCCACTCAAATTCAGATGGGATCCGACTCCAATGAGCCAAATTATTTCACAAGTTCTATGGAATTTAATTCTCACAGTATCCTAGGCATTGAGCAAATGGGCCTTATTCCCACTATACAGGTGGAAAGGAGAGTTGAAACACAGACAAGTGATTGATTGACCTAGGGTTAGGCAGCAGGTTGGCAGCAGCACCAGCCTCTCTGCTTCCCCGTCTGTGCTTGGCCAGTAGCCTCCCCAGTGGGGCTGCTAGCACATCAGCCTCAGGTTACTGAAGCAAAATAGCCAGGGGATCCTTGCTGTCCCCTGTGAAGGTGACTGGCCATCCCAATTTGCCCAGGACAGGGAGATTTCCTGGGCAGGAGAGTTCCAGGCAAACTGGGACAGTGGTTGCCCTCTCTGGAACAGTCTAGGGACACATGACAGGTACTTAGGTAAGTAGAACTGCAGAGGTGGGTGAAAAGGAAACAAGTCTCAAGCCAGGTAGGCTTTTCACAAATGCTTTACAATTTGCTTTGAAAATGGAACAGCTCAAGGAGAAAGATTAGAAGGAGATGCACAATGTCTAGAGAAAACCCTCCCCCCCACCAAAAAAAGAAAAATGAGTTCATAGAGTCTGGAGTTGGCCCAGCTCTTATTCCCCTGGGCTCAGCCTCCTCCACCCCAGCTGCCCACAGCTTAGCTGCCACCTCTCCCTTAGGAACACACAACATTGGCCACCCAGTAAGGCTACATATTTCATTCCAATCACAATGAGAAACAGAGGCAGCACCAAACCAAGAAAAGAGGCTCCAGCCCCCACTTAGTCTGTGTGTATCAGAGAAGCCCCTCGGAAGGCAGCACGTGTGCACGATTATGGCCCCCACAAAGGTTGTGAGTGGATTTGTTCCCTTGTTTTTCTTTTCTTTTCTTCATGTGAGGCATCCCTGAAGCTGGCCTTCTAAAGACAAGAGCTAAGTTCATGGTTTTTATGTGTGACACTCTCTACCCTTTGGAACCTGACGGGTATCCAGGGTGTGGAAAGGATTAAACCCACTGGCCCTGGGATTTCTGATTTACCCAGGAGAACAACAGCATTCAAAGGAGAGTTTGGAGCAAGTGCCCTATTTTGAGGCAATGCCATCACAGAGTTCCTATCTTTTATTAAAAGTTTAAAGGCAAAGGGAGAACGCCGAAGGATCCCATGAAATCCTTTGCTCTTGCGGAGAAAAAGAAATCTGTGACCTCACTGGATACATGAAATTGTAGCCAAAGGATTAAAGGATAGGAATGGAGAGTAGAAACTTACGAGTTTCTTTCAATTATCTTCCGGAAAGTTCCTGCAAGCCACACGCGCCTCTTTTATTGCTAACAAAAGGGGATTGTGCTTGAATCACTTCCAGTGTCTGCTTTTTTTTCCATCTCCACAGTGAACATTCTGCTCTCAGCTACACAGGTGCACGGCACAGCTCCGTGATATCTCATAAAACCAGCTCCAGCCGAGGTGTTCACAGACACAATGGTGGAATTTATGAGACTCACATCAGCGAGTCTCTGTGGGAGGCAGGGCTGGCGCAGGGGCCAGGTTAAAGAGCTCCCTGTGTTACTAGGTCATGTGAAACGCTGGCCAGGTGTCTTGACGACACATTTCCCACTAATAAACCTTGGGTAATGTGTGAAAAACAAGACCTTGAATCAACTTTCAAGGTAGATGGCAATCTTATCTGCTAGGCAGTGAGACTCTCCCTAGTAAGGACTCTGGTGAATTCAGAGTTTCAATGTCGGGCACCTTTCTAGGTTAGGCAGGAAGCAGAACCAGGCAAATGTTTGCTTCACTTGAGACCAAGTTTAGAATTTTAACACAAAGTTCAAAGTCTCCTTGAGCACAGTAGAAGGGTGACTTTCCAGCCTGTGGGGTCAGGGAGACCTAGGTTCCAGTTCCAAGTTGCCTATTTCTTAGTGATGTGGCAAGGGGCAGGTCACTGAACTTCTCTCTCTTCTTCTCTGTACCATGAGGAGTGGTTTTCCACCTGCATTGTTGTGTAGATAGGTTAGGGGGTGTGTAATACTTGGCCTGCAGTAAATACTCAGGAGTAGTTGGTGGGATCCAACTCCAATGAGCCAAGTTATTTCACCAATAAAATTAGGTATGAAAATGGCATCATTGTGCATTGACTGGGTTTTTTTTTTTTTTTTCCAAACTGTTGTCACAAAAATCTCCAGAAGCTCATACCAGAGCAGGTTGAAGTCCAGAGACTGTTTCCAGGCCCTCGCTGACTCTCAGGCGGGCACCCCTCTGGGATTCCATCTCCTTTGGCATCTTCTCCTTTAACGAATTTGTCCCCTCCCACTTCCATCTCTGCTACTCCTGCCAGGGCTTGTAGCATTGGCTGAGCCATTTGAATTTCTAGAGCCATCTGGGTGCACAGAGCCTCACAAGATGGTCTATTTCCTGGTTCACTCTCCATTCACTGCCATTTCTGATGAAAAGTACGCAGGTGGCCTGGCATAGGATGCTATCTGTGCGCACCACACAGTCAGCCATTGCACATAACCAAGGCATTATTCTCCTGAGGACAGCAGACAGCCAAGTCCTGGAAACTCCCTCAGAAGTCCCTGCACAGGTTGACTTGGAAAGAGAAAGAGCTAAGAGGAGAGTGCATGTGATGAATGGTTTATTGCATCAAGGAACCATTAGAAAAATAATTAGAAGATAAGAGAGAATGAAAAGAAAGAAATGTGGCAGCTCCCCTTGGCCCAGTCACTTCCTTTTGAATCCAAGAAGCTGTGAGACATGATTTAACATGACACATGAAGGCACCGGCATCACTTGGGCTTGCAGGCACAGTGTACTCCAATGGCTTTATGTGCCATGATGCCAGTGGCACTTCTCGGAGCCCAGGCTGAATGGACATCAGCCAGAAGCCTTGCAGGCTGGTAGTCACCCTTCTGACCAGAACTCTGCTGGGCACATGGGTAGAGAGCCGAGAAGGCCTGTGTTTGCTGATCCTGCTCTTTTTGCACTTCTTATAAAGACATACTACAAATAAATACCCTGAATCCAAGGTTTTGTAGGTTGGTCTCTTTGGCTTTCCTCCTCCTGTCTCCATGAGCAAAATAAAATGCAGAATCAAAGTGCAACTCCTAACAACCTGCTTTTGTTAACTACATTTTCTGGAAACATCTCAACTCTGAATTTCACAGGTCATGGGTAGAGGACTTCAAAGAGAACACTTTTGTGCCCCCTAAATCATGTCATTAAACATGATAAGCAGTTGCTGGATTTCTTCTATACTCAAAGCCCTGTGCTTGGGCTCTGTGGGGTGCAACATGTAGCTTCATCTGGGAACTTCCTGTGTGGAGGGCAGACAAACACAATCCTAACTCTAAAGTCAGGCACACTGGGCCAAAGTACTAAAAAGGTTCAAACACAGGTTGTGGGGTATAAAGAAGACACTGGTCTTCCAATTTGCTGGACTGTCTGTACTTTCTAGAACTGTGTCTTGTTCACCACATACATCAGCATCTTGAATTTTCTCTGTTCTACCTGGCCACAGAGGACACTTAGATAATCCTGCCATATGAATGCTGTGTGGAAAAACAGGTAGCTGGGTGTGGTGGGTAAGAGAATTCCAGAAAGGGAAAATAGCTTCTGCCAAGGCTTGTAAGATTTGTCAAGGAATAGCAAATACCTAGTATAATTAGAGCTAGGAGAGAAGGGTAGAGGAAGGATAACCAGCATAGATAAATCTAGAATGGTGGTGAAGGTTCTGGAGAGTGAGGCAGGGAGGTGTTCTGCTTTCCAAATATGTCTTAGAAGAGCTGACAGTGGTGATATCATTCAGAATGCAATCTAGAAAGAACTTAGTTGGATCTTCCTGAATCTTCTTCTCCTTCTCCACGGCCCCCGCCCACGTCGCCCCCCTCCCTTGGCAGTGACATAATGTTCCATGTGCCATAGGTGTATATGAAGCCTGAAGATTTGAAGATACAGACTGTTTTCTGGAACTGCCTAAGTGCAGTCGTTGGAGTCACTTAATGGAGGAAATGAAATGTTCTCATGCATATGCTTCATGATGGATTTAAAGATGGCGAGTTTGGGAGCCAATAAACCTAATTTCAAATCTAGACCCTGTAACTTTCTGCCATCACCCTAGACAAAATACTTTTCCTTGTTGAGCCTTGATTTCCTCAAGTATAATCCAGGAAAGAATCACTCCAGTTTCATCTGCCCATCAAAAGGATGAAAGAAAACACAAAGGTGGTGCCCGGCACAGAAGAGAAGGTGTACAGTGTCCGTGAATTCTCCTCCCCTCTTTTTTGTGTCAAGCCTGCTTTCATGCTGCAATGCAATTAAAAGTTTATGATATTCTAAAACTGATTTTCTGATTTAGGGGCAGTAAATTGTAAGTCACTGCTATTTTTTCCAGAAATGACATTCTTTAGATTGAGGGCTGGGGGTTACTTTTCAATTGCATTAAATTCTATTTATTGCATTTCTACTAAGACACAAGTGTATTTGGGAAGAAAGTACAATGGCTGATTCCAACTATTAAAGCTACCCATGGGAATAACAAGTCTGAGAACTTTGTCCACACATTTCTCCCCAAGGACTCAGGGAGACCTTCATTAGCAAATGTGTCTGATACCTTTTCGTATAATATCACTGTGCTCCCTCATTCCAATAGCTGTGTCCTTGTAGAATCTTCCACAGACAGCAAAACTGAGCACATTACAGTTAAACTATGATGGGGCATAAAGATGTATAAGCTGCATTGTAACAGACATGGAAACAGGGCTATTAGAAATCTAGATTATTCTAAAGGGAAATCCCCACACAACACTGTCGGTATCACTCCTTCAGCTCTGGTGAAAGACCAGTGGGCACACCAACCCACAGGAAGGCACACTTAAACTCCCGAAGATGTGTTTTATTTTTCTTAATGCAAAACATAAAAAAAAAAATGCATGTGCTAGGTGACCAAAGCTGACAGAGATCTTCATGTGATGACCTCAACCTGGCCAAGGAGAGGTTGGGTGAATCCTTACACTGCTACCTGGACAGTTAGAAACATCTGGCTAGTTGATAATTAAATCAGAGAAATAGTAAATGTGACTTTAAGAGCTAAGTGGGTCTCTGTTGAAAACACAGCTGCTTACACCTTAGTGGGGAATATAGTAGCAGTGTGGCCATGAAAACTGATTTTTAAAAACCCACCTAAACCTTCCCATTATGTTTGTGGGCCTCCATCCTCCAGAACCTCTCTTCAGCACAGGGGAAAGCAGCAGAATGGCCACATTCACACTCTTCTCCCCAAGGACCATTCTCTGCCCACCATGAGATGGCTCAGGAGCACGTGAAGCTCCTCCAAATGCCAGGAGTCTCCTCTGGTTGTCAATTTGAGGCTATTTCCAGGTGAAAGACCAATGGGCACACCAACCCATAGGAAGGCACACTCAAACTCCCGAAGATGTGTTTTATTCCAAAGTGTCTTCTCTTACCAAATTCACCTGCCTATAAAATGCTAAGGGAGCTCCATCCACAAGTGCTGAAAACAATGAGTGCCCTCTTCATTATAGGGCACATCAAGTCCAAGTTCATGTGAAACAACACATTTGGACACCACTCACAACTGTACCCAGAATACAGAGTATGAGTGAACTTGCCATCTTACCGGCATGGTCATCCACAGCTTTGAAGGGCACAGGGGACACAGCTAAGAGTAACTGAGCTCCCTATAGAATTCTGGCTGGACTTCAGAGGGGACATCCCAGGTTTGAATTTAGAATGGGGCTGCCTTTTGCTGTTCCTATCATCTGGGTCAGTTTTGCCCTGAAGCAACAACTAGGATGTCTGAATTGTTGACTCATCCCAAAGCTGGATTTGAAACCCAGCCACACACCTGGGCTGGATGCTCCTCCTGCGCAACCCAGAAAAGCAGACATGTGAGGAAGAGAGAGAGGCAGAGTGAGGGCTGCTGAGGGCCCTCTCGGCCACACACTGATGGGCCCACACAGTTCCCTGACCTGGCTGCCCCATCTCCTCCCCGATCCTGCACACCTCCAATTCTGGCTATCAGCTGCAGCTGCAGGCCTCACCTGGGACAAACTAGAGAGGAAAGAAGCAGGCTGCTGGGATGTTAGTTGACGGAAAGGCCCATTTTCTTTAGACTGTTTGGGAGAACCAAACCAAGGATGGGTGCCCACAGGATGGGGAAGAGCCTGTGTAGGCACTGCCCTCCTGAGCCTCACCTGAGGCCAGGTGATGCTGCTGCTGGTCCCAGTCAGGCACAATGTCCCTCTGAAAACTATCATCCTGGGCAAAAACTTTTCTGTACTATACCTTTGTTATAGTGAGAAGCTTTCTGTTAAGTGTAAAGGAAAGGTAGATAACCCCTAAGCATCCATTTAATTTAAACTTGGGAAAGTCATTTGCTTTTAAACAATAACTTTCTTTGCACATCTCTCCTGAAGACCTTACCATCTGAAACCACCAGGTACACCAAGTCCTCCTGCATCACCCTTCCTTGGATAGATCAGAGAGGGTGGCACCAGGGATCCACCACTGCCATTCAATCTTGTGAGCACAAGAGGGAAGGAAGCAGGCTTTTGAAGCAACCCAACTGTTCAGCCTGCCATGCAGGAGGAAGAGAATGAGAAAGAAGTCCCACAGAAAAGGCAAGAAATATACAGGTTACTGGGTCACACAGGTGACACAGGCTTGGGTGCCTCCCCATGGGTGGCAGGAGGAGAGGCTGTGGCCTGTCATCTCCTGGGCCTGCTGTACTTCCTGGGAAACTAGTGTGGTGAGGTGGTGAGGTTTGTTTCACATGCTGTCTTCCTAGGATGGTGTGTCCTTCCAGGGTCAGGTGCAGGGCAGTAGGAACCACGATAGGCAAAGGGCAGCTCCATCTGGGTTCTGCCCACAGTGTGGAGGCCCTGGGAGAGCAGAGGGGCCTCCCTGGCTACCCCACTTCAGCTGCCACAGGCAAGGTTGGGAAGCTACAGTCACAAATAGGAAATGCGTATGGAGCAGGCAAATGCAGAGGAAAGAAAACTCTGACGGGTTGTACAAAAGTCCTTATTTGGGGGGAAAAGGTGGAAACAAAAGAAAGAACACATTGGGTGGTGTTTGTGCAGGATCATGGCTGACTGGCTGATGTCCACAGATTTAGGGACCTTGACTGCAACAACAGGGAGCAGTGGAGTGGACAGTGTTTCCGTGAAGAGCAGATGTGGGGCATTCTGTGGTGGCCAGATGACTTTCACTGTAGGAGGTGCTCTTTCCAGAGAGGGTGACAGGCTTCAGAGGGGAAAAGCTCCAAATCTTCTCCCCTCGGAGCAGAAACAGCTTCAGGTGGTGCAGCTTGGCTGGCCGTGGGAGGTTTCTGGACATCTACCTGCTCAGGCGACACAGCATTCTGCAGGTATGTGGACAGAGATCAAAAGAAATGCTTAAGAGACATTTTCTAAAAGTAGGAAGGGGTGGATACCTCACCATTTTGTTGAGAAACCAGCAGAATTTAAGAACTGCCAAACTGCAGAGCAACTGACTTGAGTTATATGGTTCAGTGGAAGGAACTGAGGTCAAAGTCAAATTAGTGTTGAATCATGATACACATGGGGGCGGGGGGGGGGCAGGTGTGAGTTTGGGAACACTGTCAACTGCCCTAGGTCTCAATGTCCTTTTTTTGTGGCAAGGTGCCTGGACATTGGCTCCCCAACTTTGCCTCCTTGGAACTCTGACAGCTGGGGATCTTTAAAATCCTGAGGTCTGCTGGGCACCGTGGTGCACACCTGTAATCCCAGCAGTTCTAGAGGCTGAGGCAGGAGAAACAAGAGTTCAAAGCCAGCCTCAGCAATTTAGTGAGCCCCTGGGCAACTCAGTGAGACCCTGTCTCTAAGTAAAATACAAAAAAAAGGGCTGTGGATGTGGCTCAGTGGTTAAGTGCCCCTAAATTCAATCCTCAGTACAAAAAAAAAATTCTGGGGTCTATCTTCCACTCCCTGCCATTCTGATTTTGTTGCTCTGGTGTGTGACCTGGGGTATCAAGATTTTAAAGTCTCTTGGGTGTTTCTAATGTGCAGCAGAGTTTGGGAGCCATTATCCTGGAAAAGTCTCAAGTGTTCAATATATGCTTGTTTTCTAGGACTCACTACATAAATGAGAATACTAGGCCTCAGGTCCAAAAGTTTCAGACTTTCAAGATGGTAATAGCAGAGCATTAGAAACAAGCTCTGTTCCATTCTAAGCACAGGCCTTGTGAGACCACATGCGTGGTTCAAGAATTCATGATGCCAGTCCCAGTTTTCTCTCTTCCTCTCATTTCTTTTTTTTCTTTTTAAGGAACATTGTAAAATGTTATGTTTTTTTATTAGTCGCTCATGACAATACAATGATCTTGACATATCATACATTTGAATCAAATGGGGTATAATTTCTCGTTTTTCCAAGTGTACAGGTTGCAAAATCACATTGGTTATATGGCCACGTATATACATACAGCAATACTAGTGTCTATTTTATTCTGCTGCCCTTCCTATCCCCCCTTCCCCTCCCCTCCCCTCCCCTCCCATTGATCGTTGCCTCAAATTATAAAAGAAAAATCCAATGATGGACAAGAGGAACTGGAAATTAGGCAATCCAAGGTAGCACTGGTGCTCACCTCTGGGTTTCTGGCAACTGTTCCTCCAGGAGCTGGGGTTCTCTACAGAGGAAACCACATGAGGTTGAGGCTAGAGGGCTGGGAGCCAAGAGGACTCCCTCAGCCTGAGTTCAGAACACACCCCTGGCCCCTGCCCAGACCAGCTCCTGCACAGTCACATGTGGGAACCTTTAATACAGTCTAGCTCCAGGACAGGGATTTGCAGCAGGAAAAGTGTTACCACTGGGTGATAATTCCAGGTCTCCCAGGAAAGATTTTCCAGCTATGAAAATTAATTTTGCATCCCACTCATTTTAAGTTCCAGGTGAAAATGATGGTCTTTAAGTCCAACCCTTTGGCCCAGTTAGTAAGCCCTGGGGTGGTGTCATCATTTCAAGGGAAGTATGGGCATGGATGATGGTAATTTTCCCTCTTCGACATTATTACCAGTGGGGCCCTCAGACTCTTGATCCTTCGAGGTTGCTACGCTAGAATAGAGAGGAGGTCAGGTGAGAGGGGGAGCGAGGGAGAAAGGATGGCTGGTATGTATCTCTGAGTGCCTCTTAGGAAAACAGCCTGGGATCCTGGGGCTGCTGCCTCCCCCCACCCCAAGTTGCAGTGATTTAGTGACGAGACCCTGAAGCACAAGTCATACATAGGCTCTGCAAAATCATCGGAAATGGGATGATCTTGCACAGAATTTACAACTGTCTGGTCCCACCCCACTGTCTGTACTTGGTCCTCAGACAAGTTCACACAAAGTGCTCAGTGACTTCAGCTCCATAAACAGAAATCCAGAGCATCAGGACCTGGGCTCAGGGAAGGCTTGAGCCTGACCCTAGGCTGTCAGCTGTGGAGATAGAGGAAACCATTTGGGAAGAATTGGCTTAAAAAACAAATCAGGGATAATTAAAATTCTGGAGATTTTTTTTTTCCTAGCACTTCTCAGAAGTGCTGGGCTCTGAGAAAAACATAGGCATGTTATCCACCACTGGGGCCCTCAGCTTGGACTCCGTGGGAATCTCCCCTCTGGAAGCCCAGCCTTTATCTCTAGTCCAGACATCTTTGGTATTTGGAAGAGAATAAAGCAAACCTTCACCCTGACCCTGTTCTAACCCCTGCCCCAGCCCTCTGCCCAGCCTTCACTAGCTCAGTGGGGTCCTTAGTTCTTCTAAGGGTCAGGCTCTGTCTTCGTAAAGTGGAGAGAATAAGAAAGTCCTTACTTGAATGAAATGAGATAATGTGCTTTTATCAGTGCTTCCTGTGACCCCAGGCAGGAGCTCAATGTTAGCCCTTTAGATGTATATATCTCTTTAGGTGTCTTTATGTGTCATCTTTAGCCACCCTATGAGGCTAGAACTGTTATTCTTTCTACTTGAAAATAATAAAATTATGACTTAAGAAAGATTACATTCCTTTAGTCAGAGGAAGGAAGCTCCAAGACCAAATCCAGGTCTCTGTGAACCTAGGAAGGACCTCGCCCAGTGCCTCTACCTGCATGATGGCCCCAGCTATGATTCACACCTGGGCTCACCCCACCCACCTACTTCCAAAGTGGTGTGTAAAAGACTTGAAGAACCAAGGAATCTACAAGGCGAGGGGGAAAGAAAAAGATGGAATAGAAAGGAAGAAAATATCTCACGTGGATCATCCCATTCATTGGAAAACCAACAAAACAAAAAAGATCACTTTGCTCTTAAACCAGGGAGATGAAAGCCATAGTGATGGGATGGCCACGGGGACAGCCAGTCCCAGCAGGCAACGCAGATGGGCACTGTTCTCCAAGGCCAGGCTGAGCTGGCACAGCCCCTCCAGCTCCCGCAGAGGCAGGCCCAGATGCTAGCCTCAGTCCAGGGGCAGAAAGGGCCTGGGAAGAAAGGCCCTGTGCAGGATTCCTGCTGGGCTCTGTGGCCCGGACAGGACGGCACTTGCAACTCCACACGCCTGGCCCTCAGCTCGTCGCCAGCAGCCAGGATGGCGGCCACTGCAGAGGGGGCCAGCCACAGCACAGTGGCTCAAAGAATGATGGAGTAGCCTTTAATTGTTTGTACTCTGAAACCCGGGAAGTGTTGGCAGCCAAATGAGACTAGAGAGGCTGCTGGCAGCACACCGACGGCTGGAGCGGACGCTTCCAGCCACCTAAACGGTTAAGTGGCCGGTTTGCCAAGGCCACTGAGCAAAGTGTTACCTCACCACGGGGCAGATTAAAATATGCGTTTTCTCCTAATTGAGCAGAGTGAAATCAGCTGGCGGTCCTGTCACAAGTGCAGGAATAAATTGTCACAGCACGAAACACAGTACTCTACAGAGCATCTATTATATAGGGGAAAAAAGCCACATAAACTTCCTTCTGTTGGAATTTCAACTAATTTGTTGTCCAGGGTACTAGGATATGGCAGCTTGGAGGAAACGGTGAAACAGTTCCCTGTCCATCCCAGTTTTCTAGAATGGCAGTAGGTTATCCAAGCACAGCATTTTGTGCCTGCAATGTACAGCCCGGTATGTGAACTGGCAGGAGAGTTAAAAAGCTTTTGAATGTGATTAACCTTTGTTTTTGTAAACAAATGACTTATGCTCACTGTGGTTGCAGGGCCAATGTATATAAGGCACTCCTACTTTTGCCACTGCCTTCCTTTCTAAAATCATGTATTCTTAGAAGAAAATGGAAAACCGCATGACAGAAATAAGCAGGCCCTATTCAAAACTCTGTTGTAGGGCTAGACTGAGCTGTGAAGGGCAGAGGCCAAAGTGAAAGATTTTCTTTCTCCCTCCCAAATCGCTGGGTCATGCAAACACTGACTTAGCATGAAAGCTCCTAGGACAAGATAAGAAGCTCAATCCCACTCAGGCCCCCTGTGCCACGGCTGCATGGCGTTCTTTATGAGACATACCTCATGTTAAGTTAACGTGCTCTGAAACAACCACACTGTCCTTGACATTTTTTTTTAAACATAACTATAACACTTTTTGGTGATTTCTGTTTTAGCATTCCTCACTTAAAATGTTTAATAACATTTCATCATTTGTTTTTTTTTGTTTGTTTGTTTTCTTTTCTTTTTTTTAAATTTTTTTTTGGTACCAGGAATTGAATCCAGGAACACTTAATCCCTGAGCCATATTCCCCAGCCCTTTTAATTAACTAATTAATTTATTTATTTTGAGACAGGGTCTTGCTAATTTGCTTCGGATCTCACTAAGTTGCTAAGGCCTGGCTTTGAACTCAAGATCCTCTTGTCCCAGCCTCCTGAGTGGCTGAAGTTACAGTGTGTGCCACCATGAGTGTCCACATTTCACCATCTTAAATCCCCTGAATTTCTCTTTTCAACCAATGTTCCATTTAAACTTGAAACTCCTATGCAATGGCAGGTTCATTGGCCCAAGACTGTACTCCCAATGAGAGGCAAACACTACCGTGTTTAGTACACTTTGAACTCATAACCAACTAAAGCCCCTGAGTCTTTGTGCATGAGCCACTGAAGTTGTGTTTGTATATTGATGTTGTACCTACATGCAGAACTTGACGTCTATTTTTATTGGTTTCCTCACTATGGTTTCAGCACTGTTTCATCTGGTGGAGGACATTTCTAATCCTGATCAGTCATCTATAGTTATTTCTCCCAGATATGGATGTACCATATCTATAAACTTAATGAACATTTCTTCTTTGTGTTTCACCAAATCAACGATAAAAATATTTAACAAGGCTAGGCACAGGATTTTGTACAAACCTCTAGAAGACCCTTCAGTGTCCGTCCAAACTCTCCTCAGCCATTTCCTTGAGTTCTTGGGGGTGAGGCTCATGTCCAGCATGTGGTGGGTGTTTTAGTCCAGCTATTTTGTTGCTGTGACTAAAAGGACCCAACCAGAACAATTGTAGAGGAGTAAAAGTTTATTTGAAGGCTCACAGTTTTTGAGGTCTCAACCCATAGACAACAGGCTTCATTATTGGAGCTCGAGGTGAGGCAGAAAATCATGGTGGGGGGAAGTAACTCATGTCATGATCAGGAAGGAGAGAGAGAGAGAGAGAGAGAGAGAGAGAGAGAGAGAGAGAGAGAGACTCCATGCTCCAGATACAAAATATAAACCCAAAACCCTGCCCCAATTCCTACCTCCTTCAGCCACACCCTACCACTTCAGTTACCACTCAGTTATTCCCATTAGGTGATTAATTTGCTGATTGGATTTAGACTCTCACAATCCAATCATATCTCCTCTGAACCTTCTTATATCGCTCACATGTGAACTTTTTTGGGGGGACACCTCACATCCAAACCATAACAGTGGGCACTCAAGAAATATTAGTAGAATAAACACAAAGGAAGAAATTTATGTTCTGTTTATTTTTCATCAGAAGGATAATCATAGCTAAAGTAAGACTTAGGCAAGATTACAGGTGACCATCTAAACATAGTGTGTCTAAGATCCTGCTGGATGCGTGACATGTAAAATGTAGCCCACATATAGAAATTCAAGTACATCTTTCACTGAAGACACAATTGACTATAATGACTTTTTTGGTTTTAAGAAATGATTAGAGACAAAAATAGAAGACTAATTAGCCTTAGTTAATGCATTTGCTTATTATTCTTCCTGGCTGGTGACATTAGCTCATGCTCCATCTTTGGCAGCAACCCACACGTCTTTGAAGTTGGGGCCCGAGAGTAGGTGTGGGTAGTGAGCTGATCCACTCTGGGTGTGGAGAAGGCACCACCAGCCTCCTGGATTCTGCTGCCCTCTGGTTGTGAGGAGTGGAGCCCATTGCCGGAAGTCAGGAGGCTGAGGAAGCAGCCGCCAGCCCATGTGCCATTTTTCTTCTCTGCATTGGTTCTCAGCATGCCTTGGTGTGAGGTGCTGCAGTGATGCCGGGTATTTTTGTCCTATTCCGTGGGACTCTGGTTACTTGATTTCTATATATTTCTTCTTTGTATAGCACTGTAGTTAAGTAGCAATAAATAGCACTTTAGAACTGAAGACTGAGCATAATAACAAAAGTAATAATAGGTAACATTTATTGGTCATCTGTTGTGCATATACAGTATCTCATGTCACACTTACAAGAACACTGTAAAGGAGGCTGAAGCCTGAGGAGTGGTCACTTACCCAATCATGAAGCTGAGAAGTGGTTGCCTAACTCCAGAGTGCTACTTACTGATGTTCCTGCCTTTTCCTTTGACCCTGGATGTGGTTGGGTTAAATTTAATTCCACAGATAATTTCTGCATTGCTGTCACATGTGAGGCCCTGTGTTAGATGTTATAGACATTTCAAGTCAAAAGGCAAAATCCCTGCCTACCTGGATCTTAGTTCATGGGACTAGGTTTTGCCATGGTAACAACTTCAAAATCTCAAATATACCAGTCACTTTTGCTTGAGGCAGAATGTGGTACCCCATAAGCTGCTATCCCCAGGTTGAAAAGGTTTAAGGGAATAGAAATTATCTTCTTATTTTTGGATCAAGAAAGACTTTGGAGAGGAAAGTTGGACCTGGAGGGATAAGTAAGATTGCAGTAGGCAGAGATTAGAGGTGGGGTGGGATAAGGACCCACCTGAAAATACAGTAAGTACTGGGGCTCAGTGTGGGGCAGCTACAGCCCCTCAGGGGTGAACAATATGGTTAGGAGCAGAGTTTAGGTAAGAAAAGAAGGATGGGTGGATGGTCTAGCTAAGGGCACATGGAGAAATCTGTTCTCATCATGGTGGCCTACAGGAGGCACTGGAGGGACAGGTGATCAAGGTTGTGCATTAGCAAGTTTCAGAGAGCAGCACGGATGGCAGTTTGCAGTTATGGCCACAGGGGCAGGTTTAGACTCCTGGAAAGCCTTAGGTGGGCAAGGAGGGCCTGAGCTAGGGGATCCTAATGAGGATGGAAAATGAGAGAAGGGTCTGAGATACAGTGAGGAAATAAACTAAATAAAAATGTAGAATATGTGTGCCAACACTTAGAAGTTGATGCTGACCATAAAAATTTATTTACAATCTGTACTTTCTTAGTTCCAGTGTCTTAATGCACACCTGAATTTGGCATAAAAATATATTTCTGGTTTTGTAAAAAATATTTTAGAGATTTTAAGATCTACCATGTGTTGGCAAGTTTACTCTATACGCATGAACAAAATTCAATTCAGGAAACTTTCAATAAGTGGCGGAGTATTTTACAGAGTCAATACTGTATTATGTACTATCACTGTGATCATTGTGCGATTGCTATCATGAAGAAGACCAAGGTCTAATTAACCCTCCTTGATGGAGTTAAAATCAAAATCCACCACAGCTACGGTTATTTTTACTTTAACTTGGCCTGCACACATCAAAGAAGCTCTGCAAAAAACCTGCATCTAATCTGCCTCGCTCAGCAGGTGTACCTATAATGGTTTGCGATCTGCTTTCCGTAAATGTAAAGCTTTTGTTTTATAATGAGTCATGTGCACCAGTAAACATGTTTTAATGTTTTTATATTCTTTGTCTTATTAGTAGATCAAGAATTTCATGGAGTTTAGCAAACGGGAGAATGCAAAGCCTGGAGTTATGAATCAGCTTATCTCGGGAATGTGTTGCATATTGTTGGAAGCAGGTGGATTCTGTATTCAAGAAACAGGTTCTGGGGACCTGAGACAGTAAGTCTTGCTACTCAGAGTGAGGCCCATAAAGGAACAGTGTCTGCAACATGAGGGACTTGTTAGAAAAGTGGAAATATGAACTTCACACAGAGCTGCAGAGCAGAATCTCCATTCTTTTTTTTTAAATTTTTTTTAGTTATAGATAGGCACAATATCTTTATTTGATTTCTCTATTTTTATGCAGTGCTGAGGATCAAACCCAGTGCTTCACATATGGTAGGCAAGCGCTCTACCACTGAGCCACCACCCCAGCCCTAGAATCTGCATTCTAACAAGCTCCTTGTGTGGTGTATGTGCACACTGAAGTCTGAGAAACACCGACACAGGGGACCATCCTGGGAGAGCACCAAGGAAAGCTGAGCAACAACACGACCTGTGACAGCCAGAAGCTGGAAGAGCATCAGCGGAATTTGTGGTCTTCTCTAAAACAGGAGTTCTCAGGCTCCTCGGATCAGTACCACTTTGCTCTATTTCAGCCTGGAGTTTCTTTGACAACATTGTCACCATCTGATTCTCATTTCTTGGCAGATTAAGGAAGATGCAGTTCTTCCCAGAAGGTTGACTTAATGTGTTTAAAAACCAGGGACTCTTTAATCTTTCTAGACTGGTTCTCCACACTAGGACACCCTCCTAGTCTTCCAGATAAAACCACCCCTTTTATTTTAAAGGGGTTAGAGATTATCTGATTACCCAGCATTGTTCAGCCTTTTGAAACAACGTTATTTTAAAAATTGTAAAGATTCCATCTCCTACTCTTCCATGAAAAAAAATAAAAACCCAAGAATATTTATAATAAGCTACCATTCATTATAAGAAGATACTCAGGGATCTTCCCTCTTGTATGAAGAAATACGGGAAGATAATCCAGAAACTAAAGATGTTAGTTACCTATGAGGAGTGGGTGGAAAGGGTGCAGAGAAGAAAGAAACAAGAAAGAGGGGAGACTGAGGAGGGAGGGTTCCTGCTCTGAGTGCAGCATTTTATACAGATCTGATTCATAGACCATAGTAATGCTCACATATCCCCATGAAATAAGAAATAATCCAAAGCAATCACTCTGTGTGGGGAGGAAGGGTTTAAGGGGATATGCATACTAACAAATGAATTTAACTCTATAGTAAATGAATAAGATTAAAGGGATGGAGAAGAAAATAACTAGTTTAGTCAACAGTTGAACACAATATTCTGATTGATTACCATAAAATTGAAGGCACAGAATTACACATAAATGCTGTGATCTAGTGAGTTGACGTTTTTCTTCAGGTGTAAAGGCTAGCAGTTCTGAAATGACTTTATGTACATAGTTAAGATTGAACAAGTAAGTAAATACAATGTAGATAATGAGAGATGGGTTTGTTGTCACAAATAAGGGGAAAAAAAAGTTTAAAATATCCCCCATGGTATTAGTTTAGAATCATGGGTATCAGTATAACATAAATCCATAGTTTTTAAAGAGGCAGAGGGAAAGAAGGGAGGGAGAAGGAAAGAGAAAGGTGCAGCTTACATACATGCATTGCCTAGGCCTCTATTTTGAGGGCCTAAAAGAAAGAGCGCCTCAGGGGTAATGAGCACACCTACAACACAGATTTTGGTCTTTACACACCCCTCTCCAATAAAAGTAGCAAGGACTTTTGGAGAAGTGGCTGATTCTGAAGCCAAGACATAGCAAACACAAGATAAGCCTGGAACATCTAGTCGTGTCAGAAAATAAGAAAATGCTTAAAAAAAAAAAAAAAAGACAAGAGTCTCTCAAAAGAACAAAGGAACCAACCTGAAGTCAAAAGCTAAAAAAGCTTAGTGAAAAACATAAATACAGTATTGGATTTGAACTTAGAATAAAATAAATATCCATGTTGCTAAATAAGTAAGCAAATTAAAAAACAAATAACAAAAGAGAAAGACAGCTTTCCTTTACAGTGGAATTTCAATGACTAGCTGTAGGCAAGAGGAAGGAACCTCCTCCCCAGGCAAGCGCCACAGAATCAGGGCTGCAGACAAGACCACTGATGGGCGCTGTGAAGAAGAAACACAAGCATCCACTGATGCTTCTGTTGTTAGGCCCCCTTGTCTGCAGCATTTTGTTTCGGCAGCTACCAAACTACTATAGGGCGTTGAAGTTGAATTGATAGATTTCCTAGAGATCAGAATCACTGACTTGATTCAGATGAATGAATGGAGGAGCTGGCAGAACCATGACACGCGGTGAGGAAGGTACTTGAGATTGAGTGATGTGATTGCTTCTCAAATCACATCACTGAGGTGGCTATCAACACGGCCCCCATGTGCCGCAGTCTGGCTGGGCACAAATCACCAAGCCGCCACAAAGCACTTGTATGTTCAAACAGGAAACTTTATTGCCTGAACTCCAACAGCACTCCACGCACACTCCCCGGGGAACTCTCCAAAACGCCACCCACGCGGCCCCTCTCTGGCACACCACACCAACCGGAACTCCTTCCACCGGAACTTCACCAACCAACCCGAACTCCCCAGGAAATCCCGCTAGAACTCCAAAGTAGCAGGCGCCGGAGGCGGACAGCAGAGGTCTAATATACAATTGAATCAATCCAGCATCATCTTAATGGCTCGCCTCTCAACCATTACTTCTGGCAAAATGCCAGGGGCCATTCCGACTCGGCTGTGGCTCTCAACACCCATGAACCAGGGCTGGCTAATATACACACACACCACACTACACACACACACCACATGCACCACGCACATATGTTCACCACACACAAGCACACAACTACACACATACAAACCACCCACACAGACACACTCCATGCACACACACAAACTCAACATGCTCACACATAATATATACACCACACACACCACATGTACACACTACACCCACACACACAACCCCCCACAACACCCACACATATATACACCACACAAGTGTATGCACATATTCACAGACCACACATACATATTCACATACATGTGAACCACCCACCCACCCACACGCCATGCACACACACACAAACACCACACACACACCTTGAACAATGGAATGAATCCTCCACATAGTGAGGCCTATATCTTAAATCCTCAGTTAGTTCCCCAGATCAAAAGAGTAACAACTGAGGCGTGGCCTTCAAGGGCCATTTCAAGGGCAAGCACACTGGCTAAGAGGTTGCTGGGGGCCTACGGGCACCACAGACCATGTAAAACTTAATGTTTTGCGCATAGTATTTTGTTTAAACTTCAGGAAGACATCGTTATCCACCTTAAAAATCAACCCTCCTTGTGACTTTTCAGATTATCCCCAATAGTTAAAACCTTCATGAGTGTTACAGCCACCAGTTCACACACACAATGTGTTTGATTTATTTCCTCGGTTCCTGGCACTATCATCTCCCCACTCACCTGAGTTGGCTACAAATATCTGATTTCTGCTTCTCTCAATTCCCACCATCCCCATCCAATATGCATTTGTTCCCTAAGTACAGTAGACTCTCATTTGCATTGTTTCCACAGCCAACATCTGAGTGAAATGTGGTATAGCTCACAACATAGAACACAGTTAAATTATTCCATGATGAAAGGGAAAACTGTTGTCTGGACAGTTTGGAATGTTAAGAGGAGAAAAACCTCATAGAAATGTTTGATAAGCTTTAGGAGATTTATGGACCTTGGTAAAGTTCATCCAAGGTGCACAGACCTTGGGTTAGGAGACTCTGACATTCTGTACTTTTCTAAAAAATTATTTTTAGTTATAGTAAAATATACATAGCATAAAGTTTATCATATTAACCACTTTTGAGTGTGTAACCAGCAGCATTAAGTATGCACACATTGTTATGCAGCCATCACCCTCTCCAGAACTCTCGCCACTGGGCAAAACTAAAGCTCTGTATCTATCAAACAATAATTCCCCATTCCTCCCTCCCCTCAGCCTCTGGCAACCACCATTCCACTTTCTGTCTCTGTGAATCTGACTCCTCTAGGGATGTCATGTAAGTGGAATCACATAGCATTTGACTTCTTCCATTTAGCATAATGATTTCAAGATTCATTTGTATTATGGCATATGTCACAATTTTCCCTCTTTTAAAGGCTGAATAATATTCCATTGTATATGCTATAGTTTGGATCTTAAATGCTTCTCCAAAGGCTTGTTCTCAAGAGTGTCACTTTTGAGAGGTGGGGCCTTGTAAGAAAGTCTTCAGGTCACTGGAGGCATACCCTTAAAGGAGGTAGCGGGACCCCAGCTCCTTCCTCTTCCCCTGTCTTTTTCATTTTCAGGCCAGGAGGTTAGGAGTTTGCTCTATCATGCATTTCTGTCATGATGTGCTGCCTTGCCACAAACACAAAGCAATGGGCAAATCAATCATGAACTGGAACTTTTATAATGATGAACCAAAATAAACTTTTTCTCTTTATAAGTTGATTATCTCAGGTATGTGTTATAGTGATGGAAAACTGACTAACACAGTGTGTATACACTACATTTTATTTATCCATTCATCTGTCAGTGGACACTGGGATTGTTTCCACCCCTTAATGATTATGATAATACTGGTATGAACATGTGATAATATGTTTTTATATTATAAATTTTTCATTAAATTGTCAGGTAATTGGAATAACCTTGGGAAATATTTTTTTTTCAGATGAGGACACAGAAGTTCGAAGTTTCACTGTTACTACATAGCAGAGCAGGGTCCTGAACGTAGGATTTCCAAATCAACAGTTCTTAAATTTCAGCTCCACTGGTTAAATATTGGAGACAACATATATCTTGTTTTCTTTCATTTGGTTTGGTAAGGAAAGGAACACTGCCTAGAAGAGTTTCCTCTTTCCTGGATGAGGGAAGGACGTGGTGTCCTCTGTCTTCAAAATAATCTAAAACATTTTCAGAGACACAGAGTGAAAATAGCTCTGTTCCCCATAACTTCTTTCCCATTCTATAACTCCTGAGGCCTAGGGAAAGGCGAAGGAGGTGCACAGCTGAGGTCCCCCCAGCTCACAGTGATACGGGATGCGTAGGATGCCATGTCTGCCCCATTAGACATCCTCTTTCCATTAGAAACTGAAGGATCTGATACTCACAGGCCCTGGGCTGAATGACAGGGGTTCAGGAAGTAAAGAGGCTGCCCTGGCCTTGGGGGGGTCATTGAGGACGGTGCTGGCTTCTGGGTCACTGGTACCCAGAACTATCCCCACTGAGTCCTGGCCACAGGAAAAGCTGTCCTCTGACCAAGCTGAAAGGCTCCAAAACATTAACTGCCTGTAATTTTGACATGTCAGATATGTAATAAGGAACAAATTAGCACTTGGGTCTTTTTTTCTGAGACAATCCAATTTCTATGCCAGGCACCAACTTCTATATTTCAAAATGCATTTTTGAAGGTTAATTAGAGAAGCGGCAGAGATAGTGTTTTCCAAGAGGGATTTTTCTGGTTCCTTCCAGGTCTATGGATGGCAGGAAAAAATAACTTTCAGACACCGTAAATTGAGTATGTGAAGCTGTGAGAATAAACCCATCTCATTAGTCATTGTGTCAATTATAGTATCTAAGGAACAATTTTGTAGCAATAGCATATTTATTTGATGTTGTGAAAGCTACCTGGACCCACTGTTAGGATGATATTTGCTCTTAATGCTCCGAGTACCTCTTTAACAAAATGGCACTCCATAAAAATTTAGTGTGTTCCTACTGTAATTAAATGGCCCTAGTCATTTTTGCATTTATGATATAAACTATAATGGCTGTAAAATCCCGCAATTAACTTTCCTTGCGCCAACATTTCATACTTGAGAAATTCTCATTACAAATTTCATTACTGATTCACTTATCTGTAATTTGTCCTATGTAACCTAAAGAATATTAACAAATTTAGAGTCACTTTTGCTCTATTAAAAACGAAATATAAAAGTCTTTCACCTAGCAAGTCAATCATGATATTTCCGAGGGCCCCCAAATGGGCCAAGTGTATTGATGAGGACAGGGAGGAAGAGAGAACAAGAGTGGGGTTAGCATGGAGGAAGATAAGTGGGGTGTCATCCCACTCACCCACCTATTCAGCCCGAGGCACAAATGCTCCAGAAGGAAGAGCCCTCAGGGAAAGGGAATCATGGGCCTCAGCTCCAGATTCTGGGGTTCCTTTCTTTCTGGGGAGTTGGGATTGGCTAGTGACACTGGCAGTGTTGTAACTGACTCTTCTGCTGATTTGCTTTGGCAGAGTCTATCTGAGAGACTTGGTTGCTACCTACTGCAAGATAGAAAGTTAAGTTCCACTGAGAAGCTTATATTTCAATGTTCCATCTCCTGACGCACCAAGTGGCTCATAGGGGAAATTTGGAGAAACCTCCCTATCCTCTCAGCTCTCCCCTTCCACCCTATTAAGGCAGAAATAAATACACACCCACATTAAAGTGAAGTGAACCTTGACTACCTAGTGTCAGGAACCCCTGAGTTCCTGTCCTTTTCTGTCACAACCCCACTGGGCAACTCTGGCAATATTTGTAACCTGTCTGGGCCCCAGTCACCAGGCCGAGGAAGGAAGGGTTTTTGCTAGAATGGCTGCCGAGACTATCTTCCTCAAGGACAGTCTACTTCCTGGAAGAGGAAAGGCCAGGGCTTCTCTTTACCCTGCAAACAGGTACCATGGGGTGCCACAGGGTATCTGTACCAATGATCTCCACAGGAGCAGCCTGCGTAAATATTTTCCCCCAATAACATCCTATCTCAGCATTTCACTGCCTTCCATAACTGCATTCATTTTATTCTAATTTGTAATTAACTTTTACAAAATTAAATTGGAGATAGAAAATTACTGTCCCGACATAAATAATCCTGCTGCGGGATGTGGCAGTGTTAACGCAATCAACAATACGATTCATAAATGAAAGAAATGTTGTCATACTTATTACTTCTGTGTGCTCCATCTTTTATAGAATATTGCAGTGTAAATTGGAATTTTATATGATTTAATAAACCTCAAAAAGATATTATGGCCAAGTAACCACATAACTGTAACAAATTGTGCTCCTCCCTCATTACAGAGCTCTCTCCTCACACGGGGCTCTCGGCCTCATTATCAGAGCGGTGTCTTTGACAACCCAGAGCCCATTAAAAACACCTTGAAGAAAGCACACCCCACACTGCGGAGCTTCGAAATCTATACCAGGCTGCAATCCTTGAGGATGGCGTTGTAAAATGAGGAAGTGGGTCCTTTCATTTTTCATCCTAAGACTCGGGCAACAAAAACATGTTATCTGGCCCCAGAAGACCCGCCCCCATGCCAAGCCAAGCCTCTGCCTCCCCACAACAGATGCTGAAGTCAAATAATCGAAACAGCAGCAGCAGAGAGAGGTTTATTACTCCTCCAAATCTTTAGCTGGTTTTATAGGGTTACTAGTTTAGATTTAAAGTTTCTTTGTCTTCAGAGCACCAGACCTCCCATTTGGAGCTGATTGCCATTTTTCAAAGCTTTCTGGTTCACCCAGGGGTTCATTAGGGTGGTGGAGTACAGTGGGTGGATAGAAAGTCCAGCAAGGCAATCTCGCTCCCATTCCCTGTCCATTGGTCCCAGGCCTTGCCCAAGCTCCCTCACACTCCAATTTGGAAGAAGAAAGCTGGAAATGGAAGTACTCGCTAATCACATGCAGTGGTTCTTAGAGCCTGATGAAATTTCTGTAGCTTCCAGCAATGTGTGGGACACACTTGCAGTGAAGAATTTAATGACTTGTTTTACTGCCGCCTGCCATCAATATTTATCTATATTAACTGAAGAAAGGCATTACCTGAAATGGCATTTCACACCTCTGAGCATTATACAGTAATTCTGAAGCTGTAAGTTGTACCAAACTCGACAAGCAAACACAGAGATACAGTACGAACGGAAATAACTCAGCTTACACTTTTTCGACTTGAATTGTCTTGCAGCAATCTGGAAAACCAAAGTCGACATGATTTGAGTTGCTGGTGTTGGGAATGACTGGACAAGAATCTGTGGAATCAGTCCTTTCTCTGCTTGGTTTTTCTTGAGTTCATAAGAACACCTTTCCAGAAAAGAAAGGCTCAGACAGGGTGGTGAAACATTGCAGATTCCACCATGCTTCTTTCCACCTAAATCATGTGGGCAAGGAAGCCTGGATGATCCTTCCATATTTCCCTCCTCCAATGACTCCTGTACTTGTTGCCTGCTTCCCACCCCCCAGCATGGACGCCCCCTGAAGGCAGAGTCAAACTGGGCTCACTATTCCTTCTCTCTCTGTCTCTCTCTCTGTCTCTCTCTGTCTCTCTCTGTCTCTCTCTCTCTCTCTCTCTCTCTCTCTCTCTCTATATATATATATATATATATATATATATATATATATATATATATATCCTGCCTCCCCCCAGCCTAAGGAGCAAACTCAGGGCCTTAGCACGTGCTAGGCAAGTGCTCTAACACTGAGCTAAGTCCCCAACCCTCACCAGTCCCCCTCCTACACTGGAGCACAGGCTGATACATGGCTGGGTCCTCTTTCTGTTTGTGGAATGAATGATCCCAAATGGGAGAACAGGGGCTTGAAGCATAGCAGGCATTTCTGATATCCATACAGACCACACTATATTGAGTGAACAGCTTTCAAAGGATCGTCTGAATATCTTACACTTAACTTTACCAGTGTTTTCAAGGGTAAAAGGACCTGGAAGATCAATTGAGCCAACCGTGAACCCTACAGAGAAGAAAGCTGATTCTTAGAGGAATGAAGAGACCGGTCATGATTGTTCAGAACCATGCTATGGCTGAAGTACCCCCAGAACTCAGTCTTCACACAGCCTTCCAGCCTGAGCTTTTTCTCATACTCTAAATTCTTGTGTCCCACGATAAGCTCTGCAGTCAACGGGGTCTAGAGTGGCTTGACTTTCATACTCTGATGGAAATGTTCTTTCTATAATTTTCCCATCTTTGGAAATTAAGTTGATGGGACATCTGGGCAAGAGGATTAGTCCTCAATTCATTATAGATAAGGTTTACATTTTTAATAACAGAATTAGAACTTTGGAGAAACTTTTTAACAGCACTATTAACCCTCTGTACTTAGATTTTATATTAATCTGAAATTACTCACCCGGTGACTTTATGCACTTTGGAAGAAACACAGACTTGGAAATAGACAGTGAACAGAAGGACACATGTTCGGGCTGATGCTCAGTCTTTCCAAAGTTGTAAAATCCCGCTGTTATTTGGTGGAGTCTGTGAAATAAGATTGATAAATTGCATATTTTCTTTTAAAAATGGAATGGGATTAATTTTTTTCCATTTTAAATCTTGGAATCATTTCATGAATTAACTAGATATGCCCAGGCTTAGGAACTGCAAAGCTGAGAATCACTGAATTAAGAAGCAGAAAGACATTTGGAAAGACCTTGTGTCTACCAGCCCACATGCAGACATGACTTGTAGCAGGCCGTATAAAGTGATTCTTGTCCCTTAAATAAATAGGTAGGGATAGATTTAAAAGGGATCAGGAGGGGCAAAAAGCCATTCAGAAAATACTGACACATCTTGCTGTTTACAGGAAACAAGGGGCAGGTCTAATGTCCTAGGCATTAGTACTCATAGTAAATAAAATTGTGTGCTAAGATGGGATCTTTGCTCTAAATGTCACCTGTTTGTTCATTGTTTTGAATAAAATGAATATCAAAGGTAAAGAAAAGCATGATTTATAATATAGGACAGAATCTTTGAGAAAAGAGGAAATATGTGAAGCTTCTTTCAATACCCATTCAACATCAAATCAATATCCCATTTTTTTAGTGATTAATTCAAAATAAGTATCCAGTGCTTAATATTTTAACTGATACATTATCTCGATCTTTTATTTATTCTCTATACTTCCAAAGCAGAATAATTTTAGAGTCAGTTGATCGTCTTATTGATACTGCCTATGTTATGGTCAATGGAACATGCACAGATTTTTTAAAAACAGTTTTAGGTATTAAATCAGGCTAGCAAAATATTTTCTTCATTCTTTCAGGCTTACAAGCAATGACAGGTATTCAAAGCATCAGACTGTCAACACTGTGACTTCTACTGTCATCTGCATCATAATCTGTTTCTTAGTAACACTTGGTCTGAGCAGCAGTAATAGAATTAATTATACTTCATTTTGCTGCCTTTAACAGTATTGACCAAATTTAAGAACAAATGAGAAGTGCTTATCAAGCTTGAAGAAAATAATCCATCAGTGGCACAATTTAAATTCTCTGCAGTTCTCTTATTAATCAAAGTAACACTTACTATCCTATCTCCACTTCCCATTAACAGTCATTAAGCCCTGCTGCTGATTGAAGCAATTTCTTTAGGGATCTCAATCTCATTTTTAAGAGAACTTCTTCAGTGGAAAACAATATCATAGAAGCGCAGAGACTTAAAAGAGAGGAAGAAGGTTCTTCAATCATGTTCTGACCTTGATATTTTTCAACAGTGTAAGTTCAAAGAAGTACACAACCAAGAATCTGGAAACTTCTGAGAGTGGATGGGCTGCCCTCACCTCGCCACCTGAAGGAGGTGTCAATCCAACAAACAAGCCACAGGCTCCTGTTTAACACCTCAACTAGTCCCTGGGAGCCACCACAGCCCTTATTCTTTCACTCAAAGTGCTAGATGCCCGTCAGACACATGCAGCAGAGGGAGGATCAACGGGTCTGCAGGCTAAAGAGGAGGCTGGAGTGGTGAGCAACACTGTTGACTACGGACCTTGAACAACCCGTCTACTGTCTCCATTTGCCTTTGGGATGGAGACAATATCCGCTACCCTGCTTATCACTCCCAATTGTTGCACAGGTCGAAGCACAGGAGGAAGTGCATGCGAACATCCTTTGAAATTGTGCAACACAATGCAAACATTAGCTATTCAAGTCTCAGAAGTTGTGGGCAGTGTTTCATCCAAACCTATTCCCAGGGCTTTGCCATTGCTGGGACACAGGAGGTGACCAATAAGTGTTGCATTAATGCTACAGAAGCCCTATTTCTGAAACGAGAGTCAGATAACCCTCATTAAAACGGAGAAATCTTTTTTTTTTTAATAAAAACATCTGTAATACACGTAGAGTGGAAGGGGCCACAGGCATATCAAACACAACTTCAGGGCAATGGGTAAAAACAAAACAGTGGAATCTGGGGAATTCAAAGGGCAATGCTTTTGCATCTAAAAATATTTCAGTATGATGGAGGAAATGGTGATCTCAAGAGGAAAAAGCCCAGAGAATGTGGTGGTTGGCAAGTTGAAACAAAATTGGCCTTGCTAGTTTGGCATGCCAGGGAAGGTGGGAGTGCAGGACAGGGGCATTTGCAAAGGCCCTCTGCCTTCTGCCCCTGGGAACCAACATCATTGCTACTCACTGTACCTACAGCAGCCAACTGCTAACAGACAAGCCACCAAGCTAAATGCAAAGTAATCCCATCCCAGCATGGGTACAGACATGGAGTTAGGCTGCAGGACTATATCCTCTCCCCACTGCCAATTTGTAGTGTGATGACATTTCCTTCTGGTTATTAATTGCAATTCACCATAATCCCAATTTCCATGAAAGCCAAACACTACGTGGCATGTTTATAAAATTTCAAGATGATAAAACACTCAGTATTCATCCTGCTCCATCTTATTGGTGATAAAACAGGCTCAGAGAGGGCCAGTGGATTGCCTGAGGCCACCGAGCAGGGCACTGTAGGCCATCTTCAGCTGGTTCAGAAGTGACCTTGTTGCTTTGAGTGGCCTTTTGAGATGTGTTGGGAAGCTCTTCTCTTTTCCCCAAAGGAGGACATGTCCCTATGGAGGGAACATGGAGAACCCTCTTGGATGGGTTTCAGCACTCCTATTGCTGTCCTATGCCTGTCCTTTAAATGCAGAGCCCTTGTGCTTTGGTTGGCTCAAAGATAAGGGCTTCAGAGATTGGGCAGCTGGGATAGATCCCAGGAGGATTCTATCAAGACCTGGATCTGAATCTGTTTGGCCAGCATGACCATGAAGATACCGCTCAATAGGATTTTGGGCCTGATGCATAAAGATGACCATATAATCAATGAAGAGATGGGAAAACCTCAGGTCCCAGTGACCACTGATGTCTCCCACTGTAGACTGTGTCTTGCTTTAGAGCCCAGTTGGGCTGGGAATGAATCTTCTTTCTTTGAAGAGATGTAGGGGACTCTCCACTACTTAATTTCTGATAAGACATTAAATGTATGCTTCTCATCTCTAGGAAATGAAATGCTGAGCTGGATTTTTGGATCAATGGAATACCTACTCCTGTTAAAGCACTTAAAAAGGAAAACATCTACAAAATGTCCCATTAGGCTGACAAATTTATAGCACTATGAAAAGTGTGCCAGCAGTTTCAAAGCCGAGTAGAGCGTTGTGTTTAAAGAGTATGAATGGATTTGAGTTCAGTGATATTTCATCCACATGAACAAGTTTAGCCATCCTATCTCTTCCCAATATTTCCCACACTTACTTTTAAGTAGGCATATGTATGCCATGACAGACTATGGACATCATCTTAAAAAATAAGTTGTAAAATGAATGATATTAAATGGACTTTCACAGCGTGAAGACGTGGAAATATATTCTCATCTTGATGTGTGGGGCTGTACAGACATAAATGCCATTAGCATTAATGGTAATTATGTGCGTAAATCCCCATGCTCTCAATGAGAATGTGCCCCTTAGTTTGCAAGTACAATGACTGGCTCATTTTTGAAACTAGAAACAGCTGAGACTTTTCCCCTCTCTACTGGGGAGAGAGATACAGGGTGGCTCAGGGCATCAAACCTGATCACTGCTTTCCCAAAACATGCAATTCAAGCACTTTAAAACTCTCTCACCTTGGAAGAGCTGAAGATGTAAGAAAGTGTTCAACCTGTCATCTGAATATCCTGGTAATTTATGCTACATCAGTCTTAGTTTCCTGTCACTGGCTGGGGTGGTTACACTCCAGGAGCGATGTTCTCTCAAAAAGACCTTGTTTTATTATGGTCTGATAAATATTGAGAATAATATTTTACAGCCAACCCAGAAAAAGCTGTTTAACTACAATGAAAATTTGTGGAAAGTAAGCACATTTAGCAACCCGTTTACCAAAGCCAATATATTCCAATCGTATTAAAACAGGCAGGCAGATGACAGATCTGGGGAAACGGTTCAAGTCTTCTCCCTTTAATTCTTAAATTAATAAGGCAGGGGGACTGAGTGTTTGGTTAGGCTTCACCTGATATAGTAGGAAAACAAAAAGTGCTCTTTGCCCCAAAGTCAGAAGACATTAACACAGAGTGCCACCCGCCTTGAAACTCTACACACACTTCATCAGGGTAAGAGGGAACAAAGTGACACATGTAATTAAAATATACTAAAAAAACAAGCCATTGCGCCTTTCAATTACCATGGAACTAAGAAGCAACCATATTATTTCTACAAACTATTTTCACTTAGCACAGTTCAGATGGAATTATTGCCATGACCTTTTAAAAATGTGAAAGAGTGAATCAATACCCTTTCACAGCAAGATTGCAGGAGCCGAATTGGCCATGCTGTAATGGTGTGTATTTCTGCATCAGAAGGCAGTTGAAACCTAATTATCGTCAATCACATACAAGGTAGCTCCACGTACTGATGAGCCGGTGCAGGCTGCCACGTGCCCGTGAAGGGCTGTGTATTTGGGGCTTCAAGAGGGACAGGCATGTGCGAAGGGGGCGGGGATCTCGGAAGCCCTGGGCCAGCAGAGTCAGGCTTACAGGTGAGTTATAGGGACTGTCACTCATTTACAATAACTAACACTAGCCTGTCAGAAACAGCCACCTGTAAATGATGTATGAGTGGCTGGCAGCCTGCCATTCCCCAACAGACCTTGCAGCCAAGAATCACATTTTATTGTCGAGGTCATCGGAATGCTTACTTGGATACATGCCATATATTATTTAAAAATAACAAACAGCCAATCAGCAACATTTCTTAAGGCTCAAGGGCAAAATAGCCAACTTGCTTTTAGAAAATAGGAAACAAATGCCCACCAGCCATTTTAGCAGACGATTTTTTTAATTGCTTCTCCACGGAGATAAAGAAGTGACACTCTGGAAAGTCCTGAGAGTAGTGATACCATGTCAGATGGAGAGAATACATATGGATGTTCACTTTTCCTAAGCTGTTTCAGACATGATACCAGCAAAACCCCCAAATAAACTCAATCAATAGCAACAACAGCCCCAACTGCCAGACTATATGCTGGTGACAGGTTTCCAGGCTCTGAGAACCATGGAAACCAGTTTGCAAGAAAAGAAAATACGGATCTCTGGTTTGATTTTTCATTCCATTCCCTCATTCTCAAACCTTCCTAAGAATGGTAAAATGATTCCATGTGCTGTGACAAACATTTTGCTTATGCAATCAATCTTTTTCCATGCCATCTGAAGGTCATGTTATGTTTTTAATTTCATTTGATAGCCTAAATATGGGTAAAAGATTCAACATGACACTCTTGTTTTTCAACATGAGAAATAAAGCATTATCAAATGGTATGGATATTAAGCCATGAAGAAGTGTTTGGACAGAGAGTTCCTTGCAACTTTTCTTGGAAATTATAGAAAACAGAAACCAAAAATAAACTATTCTGTAACTACACAATTTCAAATATTGTCCCATCTAGTTTGGTGTTGA